AAAAAAAAAAAAAAAAAAATAGAAGCTGATGGTTCTAGAGTGCAATATTTGTTACCTGGCATCTTTAGGCTTTCAAAAAATAACAGATTAAAGAGGGACATTTTACAAAATAGAAAAATAGAGAAAGTCTCTAACCTTAGGTTAGAATAAACAAATCCAATAATATCACTTAGAATATTTAATGTCGTCAGGATGACTCCCTTTTGTGACAAAGGCACTAACACACTGATAAAAACTGTTCCCGGGATGATCCAGATGTCAATTCTTTCCACATGATAGCTAATGTGGACAAACATTTTTAACCATTGGTTCTGTTCTGCTTTGGGAAAAAATTTCCACTGTATGTTGTAGATGCTCTAAAGCAGAGGCTCTTGCCCTCTTGTGGGGTCACAGATTTCTTGTCCCTTACCCTGAATGCCCTCTTTCCCCAAATGTATATCATACAAAATTAAGCACTCATTTTTCAGATGGTTCATGAACTGTTTGGAGCTTATCCAAAGATGCAAAATCAAGAACCCCTGCTATAAAGAATTTCTTATTCTTGAGAAAAAGGGAGTTAGTATTTAATTAGCTGGGGTTTCATTAACAATTTTTAAACGGAATCCTTACTTAGGGTTCTGAAGTCAGAAAAACTCAACCTCACTAGAGTGCCCATGTACTTAATTAAAGAAAGTCACATCAAAATTCTGGCAGTTTTCTTTATATTTTGATTTCAAGATTATATACTGGCACCCTGTGGCACCCAAAAAGTATAAAAGCCACATAATATACATACTCTGTCATGTTTAAATCTATTACTGTATCTGTATTTATTTTAGTAAAGTAATACTTTACTTATCTGTGGATTTCATTTTACTATGGAAGACTTTTTGCTAGTGATCAGATTGCTTTCTGAGAAAAACTTTTCTCTACATGTTGACATACGTGAACTACAGTGGCTCTTCGCATTTTAGCTCCACCTACACTCAGTAAGGTCTGGGAGAGATGACAGGGAACAATCGATTGTCAAAGGAACATTTTAAAAAAACAACAACACTGACTGCCTTCTATCATCCAACTCAAGGTGTTCTGCTGTTGGTAGCATGGTTATCAGGCTTAATCTAAAAATGAACGAACCTTCCAGGCCTTGCTGTTTACGCTCGATTGTCTTCTTATACTCTTCAAGCTCGCCTTCTGTGAGATGACTGAAGGGGTTGGGAGGAGCTGGTGGGGCCTGATCGTCATCTTCAAATTGCATGGTCTTGCAAAGAAAAACATCGACAGATCGGAAGCTTATTCTTCAGAACTGGTTAAGAGGGCACAAAACAGAGCTGAGGGCTCCCAGGATGATAGCGGGAGACAGGCTGGAGACTGAAGAATTCTCCAGATAAATTAAACGGCCTCAGATAAAAGAACTACAGATATTGACATCTGGGGACTCCGCAGAGAGACGACCCATCAGCCTACAGTGAAGCTCACCGATTGCCAAGCTCTGCCCACACCCGGAGCATCGGACTGGCTTTTCAGTGTCCCATTCTTAAATATAAACAGACTACCAGGTATTACCAGGTATTACCTGAGGAAAGCTTCTGCCATGGAAGTGAGAGACCAGAACAAGAGAGAACTCAGAAGAAACAAGGACAATAAAAGCAGCTGAAGAAAATTTAAAATCGATTCCCTCAGAGCAATAAGAGAAAATACTGTATCCATGAAAGACTAGGATGTTATTTAAAAAACAAACATTCAGGGAATAAGGAGTCTTAAACAATTTTTAAAAATATATCAAAATAGAAAATTAAATAGAAGCATTAGAAAATAAAGTCAAACAAATCTCCCAGAAAGTAGGATAAAAAGACAAAGAAATGGAAAGTGAGAAACAGCATACCCTGACAGAAAAAGAAATTGGGAGGGAAAAAAATTATTGAAAAAATACATTTAAAAAATGCCCAGAGGGGCATGTGGGTGGCTCAGTCGGTTAAGCGTCTGACTCTTGGTTTCAGCTCAGGTCATGATCTCATGGTCTGTGAGTTCAAGCCCCAGTCGGGGCTGACAATGAGAAGCTTGCTTGGGATTCTCTCTCTGCCCCTCCCCTGCTCCCTCTGTCTCTCTAAAATAAATGAATGAATGAGTGAACGAATGAATAAATTAAAAAAAAAAATGCCCAGAACTGAAGAATAGGACTTGGCAGATTGCAAAGGGTTACTAAATGCAGAGAAATACAAAGAAAGACTAAAAGAAACCTACTACAGGGGCTCCTGGGTGGCTCAGTCGGTTAAGTGCCCGACTTCAGTCCAAGTCATGATCTCACGGTTCGTGAGTTCGAGCCCTGTGCTGCAGAGCCTGGAGCCTGCTTCAGATTTTGTGTCTCCCTCTATCTCTGCCCCTCACCTGCTTACACTCTGTCTCTCTCTCTCTCAAAAAATAAATAAAAAATTTAAAAAATTAAAAAAAAAAAGAAACCTACTACAAAGCACAGCATTATAAAATTTCAGAACAGCAGGAATGCAGAAAAGGTGTAAAAGAGTAAAAAAGAGCCCTATACAAAGTTACATGAATCACAGTGCTCTCTTCCTTCTCATCAGTAACAGGGGACAACAGAGTGATGTTTTCCATATTTGTGAGGTAAATGATTTCTAAACTAGAATTCTATGTCTATTATTTAAACATTTCAAGGTAGAATACAGGATTTCAGGCAGTTACGTCCTATGTGTCCTTTCTCAGAAAGCTATTAGAGGATATGCTCAATGATAGAGGGGGAAATCAAGAAACTGGAAGACTCAAGGCAGGAAACAGGAGACAGTACAGAGGCAAGAGGCAGAGGAATCCCCAGGATGAGCCTGTGCAACTGGCCTGAAAGCCACCAGTCCAGATCTGGGCTGGAATGACAGAGCAATGAGAGATTAGCTGTTACCCTTGAATCTTTGTAAAGTAATATTAAGAAGGACTTTATAGTTCTTCCCAAACTTTTAAGCCAATGTACCCAAAACACTAAGCCAATGAAAAACGGAGGCAATTATTAACTCTAGGGGGAGAAAAGTGGTATAAGAAAGGAAATGTAATCATGGGATACTACCTGGCTAAGCAGTAAACATTTAATAATATAAACACCGAAAGCTGATTTAACAAAGAAATTGTAATACAATCTTTCCCCAACATTTTCTCATCTCTGAAATCTGAACTCATCCAATAATTGATGGCTTCCTACAATTATAATGGTCAGGGTTTTTTCTCTTTTAGGGATCTACAAAATAATGGTACTTCTTGGAGTTGATGACATAGACTCAAAGTCAGTTGAGGTCTAAAATTGATAGGCGAAGAAAAAGCAGAACAAAGAAGCTCTTTAGAAACATGAAGGTAAATGCTAGAAGAAAGTCCTTGCCCCTGGAAATTGGGAGCTGACGTGACATTTTAAGCGTTGCAATTACTTGACTCTTTAACTTGTGCTTATATTAACATTAGTAAAAATAAATACTCATATTTAAAAAGCAAAGAAATTAGTGTGGTAGATGAAAACCCAAGAGCATGTGGCTTCATGGACTTACAGAAGGGGGCTTGTCCACAACAATTCCAGCAAGCAACTGCGACTGTGGTCCAGCTGTTTTCAAGTCATACCGGTTTTGTTCTCGAATCTGAATCAAAACACAGTAACGAGTTCTTGGGGGCAACTATGCAGACAGATGATTTTTCCTCTTTTACTCTCTTTTCCCACGGGCTTGCTCTTTGACCACCCAGAGCCTCTTTCTTCCTGCCTCCACAAAGCCCTCTCCTACCATCCCAACAACTCACATTCATCTCCTCCACTCTTCCTAATGTAGGATTTCCTATTGTCTTACGTGGTTGGAGAATTACCTTTTCCACGAACACTAGGGCTCACTTTCACTGATATAGCAGCAGTATGTGTACTACCTCTTCCCCACGGAGCCCGCTTGCCAGTGACTAGCACAGAGCTGGAGGTGTTCAATACAGGCTAACATTATACTGAGTTTCAGGGCGTCTGGTGGCTCAGCTGGTTGAGCGTCTGACTCTTAATTTCAGCGCAGGTCATGATCTTGCGGTTTGTGAGACTGAGCCCCACGTTGAGCTCTGTGATGACAGTGTGGTGCCTGCTTGGGATTCTCTATCTCCCCCCTCTTTGCCTCTCCCTCACTTGCACATGCACGTTTTCCCTCTCTCTCTCAAAATAAATGCACTCATAAAAAAAATTATACTGCATTTCAAATTCTTCTGTATTCATACCCCCTGAGCTTGGTATTAATCAGATTTAATCACATAAAACAGTATAAAAATGACTCCCTTGGCCACAGATGACTACATCTTACCTTATTTCTCTTTTCTAGTACCTCATTCGGGTTTGTGTTTAAAGGAACAAATTGATTTGGATCTTCAATTTTGATAGGTGTTCCACTACTAACTTTAGAAGAGTCCTCTGCTCTCAACCACTAAAAAATAAAAAATTTTCTAGAATGAGGCTTTGTGTTAAGGAAATATGGTAGGTTTTTGGTAACTGTTTATTGTTTATTGACTCAAGGAGAGGGAGCACACACTGCCAATATTTTAAAGAATTTCACTAAGCAGTATTTAGTGGTCAATTACTGTATGTCTCATACTAGTTAGAAAAAGGCTCATGATCAGCACTCAAAAGATGTGATTACTATTTGCATGAATACTCGCCTAGATGGCTATTTAAGTTTTCTTAATCTCTTAATCAGAGTCTGATCTCTTATTAACTCACGTTTAGAGCTGTGGCCTGCACTGAAGTTTTATCAGCTGATGATGGCTAAGTCACCAAAAAGGACTCAAGGAATCTCTTCAGATTTAGTTTTCCAGACTTCATTTTTCTATTTTTGGCTGCCAGGAAAGGCCAATCCCCTGACCAGCATTTTACACAGAGGGTAATCTGGTAGTAATCCATAATAGAACTACAGGGATGGAAAAGCCTTATATAATTTTTCTCCTTTATCCTTTATTATATCCTTTAAAGAAGACGAATATTCATCAAGATAAACAATGGCTGGCCATCAGTCTCCACCAATAAAATCAATTCTGGGAAACTTAGGAGATTAATTCTGTTCTTTTACTAGGAGATAAGAAATCTTATAAGCAGGGAAAAACACTTTGATGTCTAGGCACTTCCACAGTGAATGTTACTGATTTATATGAGAGGATGAACCGATTTTGAGTATCTACAGAATATTTGGTGATCAGCACTCTAAAACTAAACCAAATCTGAAGCAAAATGTTGAAAAATATAAGACAATCCATTTCTCACTCTTCAAGATTTTGCCTAAGCATAACTGTGCAGTAATTCATGAAACTCTGGAACCATCATGTGTCGATAACCTTTATGGTTCTGATTCACTGGTACAATATAAACTGCAAAGCAGTACCAAGTAGTGGATTAAGAACTGGGCTCCAGAGTCACTGTATGCATTCAAATCTTGCCTTTACTATTCATAAATGATTAGTTAATCCCTCTGTGCCTCAGTTTTCACATCTATGAAACGGGAGAAAAACCACATCCTCTCCATGTTAAGAGTATTAAATGAGATAATTCATTTAAGTCACAGAAAACAAAGTATCTTGTACAAAGTTTATACCTGATAAATGACAGGTTAGTAGTATTATATTCAGCTTTCCCAACATTTTTAACATAGAACATTCAATTCATATAAGTAACTAGGCAAAATATTTAGTAGAGGCAAACCACATAAAATAGCAACATACTGTGATTTTGGTCCTGGGACTGGTTTCCCCATTCCGAGACTCCTCAGGCACATTCACTTTCATGTAAGTATTTGGTGAGTTCAGCCATCTTGTTTTTTCACGCTGCTGTCTCTGTGCCATGTATTTGAGAGGAGAGAGTGGCACTGTGTCATCCTCAAAGGAAAAAGCGGTCACAGTTGCTGGGATTTCCACGTCACTCTTGTGCCTAGGCTTCTCTCGAATGAGAGGATGCCTATAAGCATAGCCTGTTCTATACCCCTAAGGGAGCAAAAAAACCACATTTGAAATGATCAAACATGCACCAAACACAGCATTTGGACTCTTAATTCTTTAAACAAGTGATCAGAAAGACTCCTTTGTTGAAAAACAAAGACGAAAATATCTGTCAAACCTCATGTAACCTCCATTTATAACACTAGGGTTGAATTAAGCAAATTTCAAGATCTGGTGAAAACAGATTCCAGCTGACAATGTGATTTCCACTCACACAACTGTTCCTGACAAAGGTAATTTCAAAACTGCTGACCAGAAAATTTTCCTAGCTATTTTCCAGCTTTCTGGAAGCCAAATCTCAGTGCTCATTTAAACCTTTGTTCCTCAGTCTCAAGGCAATCTTCTTCTGACCCTTAGTGGAAGAGGGTAAAATCTAAAGTAAGATGACACTTAAATAAATAAATGTAAACCAAAAAAGAAAGAAAGAAAAAAAAAGGGGCGCCTGGGAGGCTCAGTCGGTTAAGCGTCCGACTTCAGCTCAGGTCATGATCTCACAGCTCGTGAGTTCGAGCCCTGCATCAGGCTCTGTGCTGACAGCTCGGAGCCCGGAGCCTGCTTCGGATTCTGTGTCTCCCTCTCCCTCTGCCCCTCCCCCACTTGTGCCCTGTCTTGCTCTATCAAAAATAAATAAATGTAAAAAATAAAATAAATAAAGATGACACTTGCATGTTTCACTGTTTGATTCTTAAAAATGTGGTAAAATTACACTGGAATGCCTCCCTAGAGTCAAACTCAGCTCCCAGAGGTATAAGCATGTTCCCAGACCAAAGGGAGATGGAAGCGTTTGCTCTTGAATCTGCAGACATGAAATCCAAGTTTACGTTCAATTTTTCACCTACCAAATTATCCAGAGTCCTCATCAGCCCTTCAAACTCAATCTCGCCAACCTTCCATTTTTGATGGGAGCCCATATTCACTCCTCCTCCTCCATCTGTTGCTATAGCATGAGTGAAAGATTTATACTTCTGAAGATCCAGCACAAGCAGATTGTCTACTCCACCTGCCCCTGCTAATGCCTGCACCTGTAATCGATGGCAAAATATAGAGGCACAAGACTGTAAAAGATTATAATGAATATTTTACCTTTAAAAAGGCAGGATTTCACTTCAGCAAATACCTATTTAACTTGTCCAGGCTCCTAACAACAGGAATAAGGCAATACACTTGTAAAAATGGGCAGCTGAAGTATCTTTTCCATTGATCTGAAAAAGATACCTTCCAGGATTCTGATCCTCCCTGATGGAAAACACATTTAGAGCCATTCCTTTTAACATATTTCAAGAAACTGAATTCTCTTGCCAAATTTTAAAGTTATCTTGCAGTTTTCCCTTGGCTATCCTTTTTTTTTTTTTTTTTTTTTTTTTTTTTTTTTTTTTTTTTTTTTTTTTTTTTTTTTTTTTTTTTTTTTTTTTTGCTGAAAGTTATAATTTTAAAGAAATATAGACACTACACTGTGAAGTTAAGGATATTTAGGCAGAAGCAGCTCATTATCTTAATTTCATCAAGCTTTTCACAGCTTCGTTTAAGAAGGGACTGCTAGAGCAACAACAACAAAAAAGTTGGTTGTTAGACATTAAAACTGACAGAAAAGATTTTTCCCCTTTATTGTGGCCCTCTAATAAATTAAGATTATTACCATTTGCTTCAAGAGAATCTTCTTGAAGAGGGAAATTAGGTCTGTTAAAAATACATTCAGCTTCTCTGAGGAAAAAAGTAGTTAATAAATAGCCAACCTATTATAATACCTATTATAATAAGGTTGAGGCTGTGAAATTGTTGGAAACTGCAGGAGCTCATAAAACTTCTGGCCCTGCTCCTTGCGCTTTTTATAAAAGTGGCTACATCTGATCTTTGATGACGGACAGTTGCCTCTGTTTCTAATTAGTGTGACCACAACCACTACAGGGTAAAAACAGAGACAATTACAATTAAGCAGGATTATGGGGAAAACGATGTTTATGAGGCTCTCAGATTTGTGTGTGTGCGTCTGTATGTGAATTTTAATTTTTTCCTCTTTTCAATTCAAGAGATAACTGAGTTGACCCTTTTTATTCAAGTAAAGCAGATCTCTTAAAAGACAAAACAAAAAGCCACCAACCAATAGGACTTTGAAAATAAGTAATACAAAACCCAATACAACAAGCAAATTGCAAAAAATAAAAAACAAGTGTGTGGGGGGATAATTTTTCCTACCTGAATCTCACAGGCTCTCTGCACATTAAATATATAATGAAAAGCCTCCTCAATCGTTTCTCCAAGGGCTACCACACCATGATTTCTGAGTACCAGCACCTAAAATAGAATCACAAAGCAATCACTTTAAAATAACTGGCATAGCTCACACTGTTTTTCATCAACAGCAACGGCAACAAAAATAGCTCCTTCGATAGGAACCCTACTGCGTACCTTACAACTTGGCCCCAGAACTTTCTGTAGTTGAATTCTCTCCTCCTGTTCATCAAGTGACCCTTGGTAGTCATAATAGGCGACATCTCCCAGGAAGAGGGACTCTTGAGAAATTGGAAGGATCCCACACTTCATGGAGGATACCTATTTGATTGGGCCCATGTTAAAAGAACATATTTAGTTACTAGTTACACTCTCCTAAGAACCGGATTCTTTAGTCAGCTCAGGAAGCACTGGCCTAATTCACTGAGTCCACCATTCCAACCCCTCTCTCACTTTAGCTCTTCACTTCTTCCAGAAAGAAAAAAGAAGAAAAAAAAAAAAAAGGACTTAGGGGATAGAACTCAATTTAAACGTTGTGCCAAATATTATGAAAGAAACTTTACTCCAAAGAGCTCAGCACCCAATTATTAGCTGATTAGTGAAAAATGCAAATGCTATCTCTCTAGTTGTTTCCTACAATGTCAGCATTTGGTCCAAAGGAAATTTTGCTTTCTGGGTATGCAGAGGATTAATATTTTCAGTATACTACACTTCCCAGAGTCATTGCTGGTTTTAGCCTTCAGCAACTTACAGCTGCTGTTGCCAGGGTATGGATGTGTATCACACACTTAACATCAGGACGTGTTGAATAGATCGCAGCATGGGGACTGAAGCCTGTGTGGTCAATTTTCAAGTTAGTACTTCCCTGATCAACCACTTCTCCTATGATATTGACTTTCACCTGGAAAAAAATCAGAGAGACATATTTAATTGGTACACATGTATCAAAGTTTGCCTGTGATCCACAAACCAAACCAGGGGAGGGGGCCAACTTTTTTTTTGTCAAAGGCCAAATAGTCAAAATTTTAGACTTTGTGGGCCTCTGATGCAACTACTCAACTCTGCCACTTTATGTAGAACCACTCAGAACTGTAGAAGAATGGGTGTGGCTTTGTTCCCATAAAACTTTATTTATAAAAACAGGCAGTCTGAAACAAAATTTCGAATTTAGTAAGAAGCAGTTTCCAAAAAACCAAGTAACTTAAACTCTTCACTAAAGGTCTGAACAAGTCCAGTGTTTACTGAATTGGCTGGAAAATTTCCATTTGCTGACACTGTAGCACCCAGAACCAATGGAGTTCCTGTCATCCCAGAGGCCAATGACTGTGCCTATGAGTACTATCATGGAAAAATAAAATGCCACACAGTCAGCCAGCCCCTCTGCTCACACCAACTGAACTTTATTGAAATCTATTTATAAAATACACATAGACTTTGTGTTTTTTAAAAGTTCCAGAGTGTACAGGGTGGAAAAAAAGTCCAAGGATTCCCTCCAAAACATGGATAGTTCACTGATAAGACCAACTTATTTATGAGTCTCTTCAACCACCTTGTTTTTCTTGACCCTGAAAGCTTTTCTTAAAAATCAACATAAGTTGGGGTGCCTGGGTGGCTGGCTCAGTTAAGCGTCCGACTTCAGCTCAAGTCATGATCTCACGGTTCATAAATTCGAGCCCCACTTTGGGCTCTGTGCTGACAGCTCAGAGCCTGGAGCCTGCTTCGGATTCTGTGTCTCCCTTCCTCTCTGCTGCTCCCCCGCTCGGGCTCTGTCTCTCTTTCAAAAACAAATAAAGGCTAAAAAAATTATTTTTTTTAAAAATCAACATAACTTTCCAAACTTTTTCCTGTTCACTAAGCAAATGTTTTTTCCATCCATACCTTTTCTTGTTCTGTCCTGTACTAAAAGCTGAAAACTGTTAGAAAAGCACAAAGAAGCACAGAAAAAGTAACATAAGAATGAAAATCATACCAAATTGGAGGCTGTGGCTTCAGAAAAAGACAGGCCTCTAGGAATTATTATTATGTGGTCTTGCTCCTTACTTATTCTTACCTGGGAGAAAGAAAAACAAACAAACAAACAATAGGCAATTACTATGAGGTCGTTCATATTTTGCAGTGTAAACACGACTAGAAATATATTTGTAGTGAATAACTGTAAGAGATCTATCTGGGAGGGTGGGGAAAGCAACAAAGTAGAAATTAAAGGTATGCAATGGGAAACTTTCCTTGAAAAGTTTTCTTCCCTCAATACTCAAGCACTTGCTAAAAATTTCTGCCATTAGTTTCTCATTTACTGGACTTCCCTAAAGCTTTATCCCGGGAGCTCTAAGGTTGCTTAGGGTCAGCTACATTCATGAGAAAATATTAAGTGAATGTGGTAATGACTATAATCTTGATTTACAACATGGAAATGAAGGGGAAAGGGGCAAAGGAAAGAGAAGTCTTCCTGGAGGGCAGGAAGGAAGTGGAGACGGAAGGGGAAACACAGGAGAGGCTGCAGGGGGTGGGGAGTGGGGTGGGGAAGAACTCTGGGAAGACAGCACCTAGCACTGGCACCACTTCCATTACAGTCTTTTCATACTTTTTTCTTCCAAATGTTGTCTGGTTTCCAAGTGTGACAACATGAAAACACAGATGATAATGAACGGAAAAAATACACTTAAAGAGAATAAAGACCAGAGAGGAAACGTCCCAGGCCTCCTCTACTTTGCCTGCCCCAAGTGCTTTTCAGTGACCCTCATGCTCAGACAGAATTAACACAGAGAAAACTGTGCCAGAAGGATTTCTTTTCAGATGGTTTTTGCAACTGGTTTGAACGAAAAGGACAACACAGACGGTAAATGAAAGAGAAAGTGAGATTAACCACAGCCTCTCTTTTGGAGAGGTTTAAATCAGGATTAGGTTGTAACCCAGCATGCTAGGTTCAGAAAATGAAGACTGATCAGACTTAGGAGTCAAGGGGAGAAGAATACAGTTGCCTTCTAGTTGGGATTTTTTCAAAAAGGAATTGAAAGCCAAAGAACTCACGGAGATATAGGTATTTGCCAGGTGTGCCCATCCAAACAAGTCCACGAGTCTATACAGGCTGGCAAGCTTACAGCGAGTAAGTTTCTCTCCCTTCACGTAGGAGGATGTATCTGCCCCAGGGAGGTCATTGATAGGTGTGACCATGCCGAGACCTAAAAGGAGGAGGTGTGGATAGAGACTGCGGTCAAGTCAAGTACTGCTGCACCTGGAAGCAGCCGGAGTCTGGGAGTGTCCCAGCCTTGTAAATTCGGATGTGAAACTTATCAGCCCGCACAATGTTTCATTAGCTTATCTTCCTTTGGAGAAAGGCGCATCAGCAATCTTCTCTGCTGTTTCGTCTAGTACTGTACTTGTGGGGGAGGGACTTGGTAGGGAGTCAGGTTCACACCACTGGAGGAAAATGGTCACGTGATTCCAAAGGTGAAAGTGTTCTTAATCCTGAGGTTACTGCTAACTTTATGATGAAAAGATCCCAACGGAAAGCTACTTTTCTAATAGCCCTTTTGACTTTTAGTCAAACAAAAATTATTTAAAATGGAAAAGAATGCATTCAAACCACACTGTGCCTTCTGCCATGACTAAGCAACAAAACCTAGTTTTGCTTGGGTTTTAATGACCCAATTGCTAACTTCAGATGTGATCAAGTTCCACTTTTTCTTAGTCTTTGTTCTCCTTGACACCATTTACCACGTCTTCCCTAGAATTCTTCTACAGGCCTGTGTGGTATCATCTGGATCTCTTGTTCCCCTTTCACCTGCTGCTTCTTTCTCCTTCGACAAGTTCTCTTCCCTTTCTCCCGTCTGTGGCTCCTTCCTGAAGCTCAACCGTCCCCTACACTCCTCTCTCATGTTCCTTTTCCCCATGAAAACGCTACAGACTCAGACACCCTGGTCTTTACCTGTGAGCAGGCCCTCCTGCCCACCCTTCAGCCTGCTGCTTCTAACTGCTTGACACAGTAACAGACAAGTTAAAAGAGTAGAAAAGTGATTTTTATCTCCCTGCTTTTTCCTACCTTCTCACTTCTCCTCAGTCTTCTGATACTGATGGTACTACAATTCCCACAGGATCAATGTAACCTGTCCTGGGCGACCAAACGTATTTCATCACCACGTTCCACCACTTTCTTCTTTATGAGTTCCCTCATTCTCCATCCTTGAGTTCAGGCCTCATCTCACATGTAAGCCTTCTCATTCCTGTCCTCGCCTTTGGCCCCTCTCTTTATAAATCCATTCCACATAAAGTCATCAGATTGAGTTTGTAAAGGAACACGGTTAGCCTCACTACTCCCCTGCTCAAAGTTTTGCAGAAGCCCCAGACCTGAAGGCCTACAAGATATTCATGTAAGTGCATAAACCAGGCCTGGTGCAGCCCGTAGGCCGCTAGAGATAACACAGGCCTGGGATAAAGGGGCAGCTATAACTCCACAATCAGCTGCTACCGTGTGAGAATCTGAGTTCAGGGCTATCAGAAAGTTTCAACTTTAAACTTGGGCCCCAAGTCAATACTGTAATGTGAGATCTTCTACTTGTGAAATGTTGTGAACTAATTCAAAGAAATAGTTTCAATATGTAAGCCATTATGAAACAACATAATTTCTAACAAAATTTCAGAGTCAGCCATTTAATCGATCTCCCGCTTTCCCCGCCAACTTTAACTTCCACTTTCGACAACATAAATTTTCCAGCCAAACTGGCTGATTTGTACTCCCTGACCTCTGAGCTTTCCCGCTGCCATGCCTTTGTACATTGCAGCCAGCAACCTCAGCGGCTCCCCCTTCCTGCTGGGGTATCTAGGACACACACAGGATAGCTCCTCTTATTATTTTGGTCTTCCTGGACCAGTCTTCCTCTTCTAACTTTCGAAATTTTCTCTTTAGAACCTTTTCTTCTCTGCCTATACCCTCTTGTATGATTTAATCTACACACACGGCCCTGATGAATACTTCCCCATGTCCATCTGCCAAGTCACTCTCTTAGGCTCTAGGAGTGTTTTTCCAACTGCTACAAGGTCTTGGCAACTCTGGGCAACCCTGGCATGCCTGAAGTTGAACTTCTTCCATTTCCCAAGCCAAAGAGATCCCCAACTCTGGACATTCCTATTTCTGTCTACTAATAATACTATGAAATTCTCAGTTAATTCTTCACACAGAAACTATACATGTCTTTCTACATCACCCTTCTGCTTAAATGGCTTTTCAAAATTAGAATAGAATCCAAACTTCCAACCCTGGCTGCAAAGCCCTACATAATTCAGCCTCTCTGCCTGTTTCTGATCTCACTTTGTTCTACTGGTTTCCCCCAAAACCATGTTCCAGACCATAACCTTTAATTTTTGTTCCTTGAAGAGACCACCAAATTCATTGTCCTCTTATTTCCATCTGACACTTGTACTTGTCCCTTCTACTTGGACTGTTTTCTCTCAATCTTGGTATGGTTTGCTCCTCCTTGTCATTCAGATTTCAGTTTCAATGTCCCCTCCTCAGAGAGATTCTCTCTGATCACCTAATCTAGTCACCTAGCTCCTCCTATCAAATCACCATCTATTAATTATCTGCATAGCACTTATTAACTGACCATTTTCCGTCTCCACAAGGACAGGAATCTTGTCTCTGGTTTATCAGTGTATCTCCTATCTCTAACAGGGTGCTTAGAACATAATAGATACTCAATATTATAGAAAAAGCAAAACAAACAAACAAACAAGCTCAACCTTTGAATTTTTAGGTTTCTTCTAATAGAATGTTTCTTCCAAGATAGAGGAGTGATTTTGTAACTCATAGTTCTTCTCCCCCACTATCTACACCATCTCCTCACATCAAACTGTTACTAAGTCATCTCTATTCTTCCTTAGTTATGCCTTTCTCATATCTCTTCCTTTTTGTACTCACACTACTATTTTAGTTCAAGCATGTATACCTCACATTGGGACCCTTTCAAAGATTCTTTAACCGGTATATATGTGTGCCGACACACTGGTCCACTTTGAGTTCTACAAACATACCTTAACCCAGCATGTTTTCAACATCAGGTCTCAATTGTTATGCCATTCCTCTATTTGGAAAGTACTTGCATTTACTGACTCTTGCTTATAAATCTATAACCAAACCAAACCAGACCAAAACCAAAACCAAAGAAAGGCAGAAATGAAGGAAGAGAAGGAAAACAAAAGAAAAAAGAGGAAAAGAAAATCCCTTGATGCTGATATGACGTCTCATCCCTTGACTCGGACCCGAAGCAGTCCCTGACATTACCTTCTGGCACTCTGCACCTGTCCTGGTATTGCGGGGAGTTCCGGACATATCTTGCTGATGTGTATAAAGTGCTTAGTGTTCAGCTCACCAAACTGGTGCTCTTACTAAAGAGTTGTTAAATGTAAAAATACCTTAACCCCTCTTTTACACCAAATTCTAACCACTCCATCTTGTAAAGCCTGGTTAGCTCAGGCCTCTCTTTTTTCAGAGTTTTCTCAGTCCACTTCAACCAATAATCAATCTCAACTCTCAGTTCATAGTATGATGACTTATAAAAGGCCATTAGACAATTTCTTACGAACTGCTTTGTAATGTTTTACAGTTATCTTTCAGTTTTAATTTTTTTTTTGCATTCATGGTAGGTCTCCTCAACCAAAATTACGCATTTATGTAGGACAGGGCCCATGTCTTGTAACTATTTTACAATCTCACAAAGTCTAGTAAATGCCCGGTTGATAACAAAAGGTAAGAGAGTTTAACACTATATTACTCTAAGTATTAGATGTTATAAACTTAAGGACTGAACCAGAGTAGAATATGCTGCTAGAGATGTGCCGTGTTCAAAGTAGAGATAAAATTATAATTTTTTAAACTTTTCAAAACTGACGTACTGAGAGGAGGTGAAGTAAAGCCCGAGAAAGAATTGGTCGTGATGTAATCTGCGATCTGCTGTAATGCCAGCAATCCAGTTGGGTTGTGGCCTTTCTTCATCTGTTCTTGGATAAGGCATTCCAGATCTTCCCGAAAGGCCTGTAACACACAAAAATGACCACTGAGCTCATACATCTCATTTGGAGCAGAACAAACCAAACATAACTTTCTCTATAATCAATCTTTTTCCCATCCCTCTTTTGAATACGGTTTCATCTACACAATTTTGAAACAAATATAAAACATAAAATAATAAAACAGTGGAAGAAGGAGGCAAGAAGCTTGCCTTCAGGGGAGGAAAAAAATCATTAGAAAGTCTTACTCTCAAAAAAACGAGCTATCATCTACAACTCTGTTAACAATATATAAATATATAAACAAGATATATATATATCAATATATATATATCAATATCAACAAATATATAAACAATATATATAACAATATATAAATATATAAACAAGATATAAAGCAACTCTGTTAACAATATGGAACTAGAGTACCAAGTACAGACTGATGCAAAAAGAGAGCCATTCCTCGCCCAGTGGCCTCATTACCTAGGTTGGGCTAGAGTCCCTATTTGGATGGGGCAAGACTCTGACTACAGACTGACTCACAGAAATCTTCACTAAGACATACTACATACATCACGGCTTCCATTTTAAGAATTCCGTGGCAATTCCCTTAACTCTATGAAGACTGAAAGCAAACTGATAAGAGCTGAGAACTGTTCACTCCCCTTCTGCAACACTGTGCTAAAGAAAGGACATTTTCCCCCAACTTTGGGTACTATATGTTCCTGTTCTGGAATTCCGCTATATTTCTTGGGGGCATATGTGTATGTGTCAGAAACAGTGTTCATATCAGTAAAAATTCTGAACGTTAAGAGAAATTTTCTATTCGAATAACCCTTAAGTTGCTAATATGATTCATCATTTGAAACCTCTCTCAATCCTTTACATTACTTGAAATAGCTCATTTTTTATTTCCATAACACCTAACCAATACTTATTTTATTAAATTCATTTGTTTTCTTGCTCAAACCTTTTCCCATTCATTTTAAATACAAAAGCTCTTGCAATGTAAGTCCTCTAAACCTTGCTTTTGGTTACACATGAAACAGAATCCCTGCCAGAAATTAAGTTCAATTTTTAACCACTTCACCTAAGAGGGAGAAGGCAGAAAACTGCTCCGGAATCACAACCTCCAAGAGGAGTCCATACAAACACCTTGGAGATCACTGGAGAAATCTTTTTCAGAAGGGTGAATTTCCTTTCAGTCACCAACAGTAGCCTTCCTTATAAGGCTGAGAATAAGATCTCCTGGAGTCCCTGCTTAGATGTAGACTTGCATCGTGGATGACCGAATGATTCAGATTTTCAGAAAGGACTTCTTAAAAAAAAAAAAAAAAAA